TGAGGCCGGGCGCGGGCTGCTGCCCGCCGCTCACTCCAGCCTGCGGGCTGCGATTTCCCATCCTAGTTGCGCCACACAGCCGGCTCGAAAGTGCCTGGACATCCTTCCCGGGCCGGCGCGGTCCTGGGGAGGGGGTGTCTCGGGGAAGGAGACGCTCCGAAACACCTCCTCTGCAGCTGGAGTCGCCGGGGGCTCTGACAGCCACGCCCGGGAGAATTAACCCTGTTCTCTCCTTGAAGCAGCTTCCTTTTAAATTCCAGACAGTCATGAAACTGCTAAGTGTGGGCAGTGGCGGCAGCCCCTGTGTCTGCGCGCGGAACCCCGCGGGTGAGGTGCCCGGGACGCAGCGTCCCACCCTGGGGTGCTGTAACTCTTGCGGCTGGAGAAGTGTGGCTGGGAAGGACTGGTTGCTTCTCCCAAGCCCCAGGCCAACCGGGAGGCCGCCGTGCCGTGGGCCGGTACCTCCGGCTTTCAAAACTAGTGTTCATGTAAAACGCAAGTAGCTAAGCGTCACCTTCAGCGAGGGGAAACTGAAAGAAGGCAGATGTGGGAACTTCTTCCAAGAGAATGAAAGAAATGGATCATCAAGTGAGACTGAACCATGTCCCCCCACAAAACCCCCGCAGGTAGTTGCCGGGTGGTCATTCCGTGCTCCCCTTTCCTGTCTAACGCCCTATTTCAACTGGCTGTGCTCGCCCCAAATACGCTACCAACTTCCTCCAGTGCACACGCCCACGCCTGCTGCTGCTGCTTTCTACCTCCAGCAATGGCTTCATTGAAATGCTTTACTTTCAATTTTCACCGTGTCGCTGCTGTTCGGGTGAGGTCCTCCCGAGAGCTCCAGCCCTTGCTTTCGCCCTAGCCTGTGCACGTGACCGCGCGGAGTCGCTCGCTTTCCCCTGCTACACTTCCCGCCCACGCCCCGTGGAGGTGCGAGCGAGATCGCTCGGTGCCCGGCTGTTCCACGCAGATACAGAGAGCCTCCCGGAACAGGCTTTCCAATCCCGGGGCCGCGCGCGGGGACCCCAGCTGGAGGCGGGGGGAGTTTGTTCTTACTATATTTAGACTCCCCACGGAGTTTCTGTGCAGGGACTTTCAGGGTGAAAGATCTGGAGAGTTGAAATGACTAGTGCACACGCTTTAAAGTCGAGATGTTGGCTTTTCTGCAGGCAGCGAGTCGCAAACCACTTCCTTTTAAATGAGCTGTTTCGTTCCCTGTAGATGTGGACTACCTAGGTCAGGTCCCTTCCACCTGACTTCCTGCCTGGACACTGGTGTGCAGGCAGGAAATCTCAGGAAGGCAGGGCACAGGGACGCGAGTCAGCTGTGGAATTTGCAAAGGATGCTTCATGGGGCGTAGGAGTGAGTGATACTAGCGGAACTGTGAGGTGATTGAAATTTAAATCGTCAGGTTCCATGAAGTAGGGCTTCAGAGCCGGGGAGGACCTGCTAGATTATTCCCTGCGTCCATGTAGACGCCTAGTCCAGAGAACAGACCGGGACCGTCCAAGCAGTCACCAGTAGTTAGTGCACCGTTGCCGAGGGCACCGACTTCGTCGCCCAGGTCAGTCCCTGGGCAAGCAGCGGGCCATTCTGTACCTGTATGGAGTGTCTCCTGGGAAAGACTGGTCCGGCTGCAATATCGGAGCATCCAGTTCTTCCAGTCCAGTCAAAGAAAGACCGAGGGATCTTAGAGCTCTTCTATGAAATTCCTTTTTTGTACCGTAGTTTCTTTGCTACCCACTGTCATCTCTGGATAAATAGGAACCAACTTTGGGGAAAATAAAGTGTGTGTGTTTTTGATGTTGTTCCCTTGAGTACAGATGTTGCTAGGAAACTGCCTTTCATTCTTTCTGCTGAGGTATCAGAATCAAGCCACGAGGGAAGCAGTGGAGCGCACATCCCAAGCGTCGCGATTCCACGGGAGCCTTACGAAGAGGTGAAGGTAAATGACAGTCACCTTTTTCAGAGGCAAATGATTACTGCCAGTGTAGACGTGAGCTGCACGCCCGCCCCATCCTTTGAGAGAGGGAGTGCCCACCACTCCCTCTGTACACATTGCTGCCTGCCTAAAATGTATGACCTTGGTAACTTCTCTGAAGTCTCTCTGGAAGTGGTTTCACCTGGACAGAGTGAATAGAAGTATTTTTCAGTATTTTCTGATAGGTACGCTGGATGAGTAATACTGAACATTTTATGTGTGAGCTAGAAATGTGTAAGACAGACTTTCAGTGCCCACAAAAGAGGCAGAGTAAATGGACCTTCCCTGATGTCACAAAATATCAGTGACCCTGTTACTTTTCCTTTCCTTTTTCTCCATACCTAGCCGTTTTCCCATCTGTCCCAGCCCACTCAGTACCGCATGTCTTCCCATCCACTGATAACGTGTGCTTTTGGTCAATTAGTGAGGGCCACACGGATGCACTTGGGCTGCCCTGGGATTCCTGGGCTAGTCAGGGCAGAAACCATAAACAGAATCCTTAAACTGTAAAGCTAAAAGGAAAGATGTGCCGAAAGCTCACCGATCTGACATGCAGGGCCGAGGGTCATGGGGAAGTCTCCCAGCTCCTAAGTAGAATGCTTTAGGCTACACTACCCTTCTTAACTTTCACCTCAGCCCTATCCAGCCAGAAGTGACCCAAGAAGCTTAGGAACTGTCCTGCGTTTTGTTTTGTAGGCGCTGTATCTTCTTATAACTATTGGCTCAGAGAACATAGTTACCTCCTTTTACTATTTTAAACATTTTGGCACAGTTATCCCATGGTACCATTTTTTGGTCCATCAAGAATTCTTGTCTCTAGAGACAGGATACAAAGTTGAGGTTCCTGTGATGAACCAAAGTTGGAGAACCCAGGTCAGGATCAGAGGTGTATGGAGGCTGCCTAGGTGGCAGGAGATTCTGACACAGTAAGAAGCCATCACCCCTGCGTGAGGTGTGGCCCCCGTGCCCTCCCTAGGGCACAGGAGGCGGTGGGTGTCAGTGCCTGTGGCTAGAAGAAGAGACTGGTAGCTAAGAAACAGTGCTTTAAAAAGAAAGGACTTTAAAAGTTCTATTTTCATCCCAGCAAAATTTGTCTAAGAATTACCAAGATAATATGCTAATCACTATTGTCAAAGCAAAATCTTATCAAATATGGAGTATGCATTCAGTAGGTGCTAGGCACTGATACTTAAATCATTTTCACTTGATTCTGCCAATGCCTTCCTAAGCATGGGCTGCAATCAAATTCAATGTAGGGGGTAGGAAACCGAGGTGAAGATTTTTAAATTTTTAAAAAACTCATAAGCAGTTGAGCTTGGGCATGCAAGCTTAGCAGTATTTAATGCAAAAGAAAAAGAATAATGGAGAAAAAGCAAAACCAAGATTTTTAACTACAAATCTATATAAACTTTTGAAATAAAAAAGTGTGCCATTATTACACATTCATAATCTTGTTGTTTTCTGAGATAGGGTGGCTCAGGCTGCCCTTACACTTGCTGTGTAGCCCAGGCTGGGCCCTGAAGCTATCCTCCTGCCTCAGCCTCCCGAGTGCTGCCATCACAGCTGTGCACCTCCACACCCAGCTGTACTCATAATCTTGACAGTGTCTCTTCACAAAAGAAAAGTATGGGAAAGTTTCGTTTGATTGTTTTAAGGCAAGATTTGGGGGTTTCAACACATAAATAGCTTCACACTTCACTTTTCCTGCAAAATTGAGTTTTTACTGAATAGGCATTTTTTTTCTAAAATTTTAAACAGCCCCAAATCTTACAGTATTAATTTATCATTGAAATTAAATGTTGATCTTTCCCCAGCACTGTGTTCATTTTTATTAATAAAACCTTGTTTATAGTATTTGTTTAAACCTGGCTTCATTTTTTTTTCTGTCATGTTATCCTCTAGCCAACTACTCAAAAAGTTCTTTCTGTAAATAAGTTGAGTAAAATTCCTTGATCTTTTTGAGACCTCTTTATTTAGAAACCGAGTAAGTTGATAGAGGAAAACATCTCCACTGAGTTAGTGTACTGGAAAATCCCGTTATAATTCTGTGCCCCCTAGTGGTACTGACATTTTACCGTTAGTTTTGAAGGGGGAATTACACAGCATCCTCTATGAAATTCTAGATACATGTTCACTCCGTCAACGACCATCAGTCATTAGGTGCCACACTAGTTGGTGTGTTGCAAAGATAGAAAATGTTTCTGATTTTTATCATTTTTATGGACAAGTGAGGGAGATGGGTCCATAATTGGTGATGAGTTCAGAGAGGTTCAGGCACAAGTTACAGTGGATTTCCTGAAGAATGGTGCACATGAGTTAAGTCTTGAGGAATACCTAGATTTTGATGAAGTCCTGAGGGCAGAATACACAAAGATAAAGCCTTTGATGAAATATGAAATCTGGAGAGCTCATCACGTTTTGAAAATGACAAGAAATGGGTTTTAAAACTGGAGCCCAGGTTGCATTTGGAGATGTAGCTGTGCGCAAGAGGCAGGAAAAGTAAGGCAGAGGATCCATGGCTAAGGGTTTGGAAAGAGTTTCGGAATTTATCCTGACAAACAGCCCCTGGAAAATGGCATGCAAGGACACTCCGTGTCCCTGCCTTTACTTTCAGAAAAGCATTTGGTATGTGTGGAGCACTTAAGAGAAGTGCTTATTATTCTAAGACAGGGGAATTACATTCTAAAATGATACCCTGTCTCTACTGGGGAGTCAGTGAGCCTTGTCTAGGAACCACGGAGAGATGCTAAACCTGCCTTCCAATTCTCGGACGTAGTAGCGGAATGGACAGTGGTACCACGCGTTTGACAAGGGAAGACTGAAAGGGAGGCAGTCCAGGGAAGGAAAGGATATTCAGTTCAACTTTATATTGAATTCAGTATAACTGTTGGTAAAGCCCAACACAGATGCTCCCTTAGTTGGATAAACACATCTACAGCTCAAAGGGGAGCAAGGACTTTACATTTGAGAATCATTCACTATGTTCAGTAGGTTTGGGTCAGATTACCTGGAGAGACCTCAGATAAGTTGGAAAAGGATGAGGAAGGTCTGTACTTCAATCTCCCATGAACACGAGCATTCAGGATACGGGAGGAAGAAGGAGACAAAAAAGCCCAGTTACCCCGCGGGCCACTTGTATAACAGCAACAAGAAAAGTTTCAGGCTGAAGGAAAGAGACCAAACAAGGTAGGCATTTTGTATTTAGCAATAAAGAGGTCATTTGGCCACTTTGCTTTCAACTGTATTCTTTCCTTGAAGATTTTCAGAAACAAATCCGGTGAGAATGGGGAGAGAAGGAATTTAAAGATGAGGAAGTGGAAGTCATTATTTTGAAGGTAAGGAGATCAAGCAGCAAGCAGAGGGCATGGGTTTGAGGAAGGGTCTAGATGAAATCCATTACTGACTCACAAATGGCCTGGCTGTCTGCCCCTCTCACAGCTTCTGAGGCGATGCTTGCACAACCATTTGCACAACTGAGTTGCAGTTTTGATTGACACTATCTCCCTATTAATTGTGAAGTCTTTGACAACTTGGACCTCTTTGATTGATTCTGTTTAGTACTCTTATGATAGCTTTAATAAAACCACCATATTTTATTTCTAACAGTTTCCAAAACAATTTACTGAAAACACACTTTTATGTTTATCAGGAAAGCAGACACATGGTGGATAAACCACACATTTTTGTGTTTAATGAAAGGTGGAGGAGCCGACTCGATTAAATACATAAATAAATATTCAATATAGTTTTCAAATAGTGTTGCTGAAACTGCAAAGAAGAGAGACCCAGAGACCTTTACACAGTCTGGAGCTGGTAGGAGAGGCATTAAAGTTTCTGGAGTTTTAATCACAGACTTGTTTTCCTGCTATCTATAAAGTTTCACTATAAAGTTATATTAACCAAAAGTTTGTTAAAATTTTTAAAAGTCTCTAAAACCAACTGAAGCAGGGAGTGGTCAGTTCATAGGTGTACTTGGAGTAGTACTTCCTGTCCTTTTGAGGTGTGATTCCTTTTTAGGTGTTTGAAGGAAGTGACAAGACAAACAGCTCACGGAGCCAGGCGTGGTGGCCAGTGACAAGGGGACAGTCCTGGGGTCCTGGACACCCTGAGGTCTTCCGCACACTGGCTGGCTTTGGTTATAGAAAGAGTTAGGGGAAAAAGCTACAAGGACACAGGGCTCTGTGTAGGAATCTGTTGGTCAAAAGAGTGTAATGGAACAAGAGGCAACCATGCTGAAAAATAGGTGAGGTTGCAACCAAGTTGTAGTTTGCCACAGTGGCATAAATTCTGAAGCAAGAAAAGAGCTATATAAGTAGAGGAAGTACCGCTACACAGGTTTCCAAGGTTTTGATTTTGCTTTGGCATGTTGTTTTGTATGTGAGACTGAAGCATATATTTACAAAAGCAGATGAAGTTGAAAAATTGGATTAAGTAAAAAGATATTTCAGGATGAGATTAAGAAAATCAAAAATGGCAGAGACACTGAGAGCCACAAAACCCAATATTGCATTGGGCAATGAGAACTGAAGGTAGACCAAAAACTAATGATGAGTATTTAAATATACTCAGAATTTGAAATCTAAAAAATGACTTGTGAACTGCGGGATCCTACTTCCTGAATCTGGTTCAGTCTTCATTTCTTTCATGTTTAAAATGGGAATAATAATATCCACATTACAGAACTTTTCCAAGGAATAAATGAAATCATTTATATAAGGGCCTTAATATAATGCTGACACATAGTAAGTACTCAATGGATGTTAATTACCACTACCACCAATATTCACACATATCAAGATTTACCTTTGGTCCAATTTGTGATATAGCCTGTAATTTGAAATAATAGCAGATTGGGTTTCTAAAACATTAACTTCTGTGATTATTAATATTGGGCTGGAATTTAGCAGTCAAGTAAGACTAGAAATCTAAACTTGTGATGAATAGTTTTTATAAGTAAACCTTGAGATGCTAAAGAGGTGAAATCTTAAAATTTGTAGACAGTGCTTTAAGGTAGGATTTTTTGAAGTTTAGAAAGTAGATGAAAGAAACTATCTGATAATATATTAGTCTATACAGTCGTAGACATATAGTTTGTTAAAGGTTACAGGATGCAATGAAACAAACTAAAGCCTAATACAGAGTGTTGAGTGTAACTCTACTTCTAACATCTTCAAATAATAATTCTTTCACTTTGTTATACTGGTGATAGATGTTGAATTCAGTAAACTAGAATATGTTAAGCTTATGATTCTTTTTTTTTTTTTTTTTTTTATTGAGTTTATTGGTACATTTAGGGATACAGTACAGTTACATTCATTGTTGGGATCATGTACCTTTACATGGCAAGTCTTGATTCTCATTTTTTTCCCCTTACCTCTGCCCTCCCTTCACCCCCTCCTCCCCTCCCCATCTACAAACACTTTATTTTCATCTTTTCATTCTCTCACATTTTTTTCTTTTCCCTTTTTGTTCTTCCCCTACGTATCACACCTTCCCTACACCTTTAGCTCCTTTCCTCCCATTTCTAAATGTCAGTAATCTTATTAGAATCTTATGCATTGTTGCAGAATATTCACACCAGGGAAACTATTTGGTATTTACACATGTGGGACTTATTTATTTCACTTAGGAGTATATCTTCAATATGTATCCATTTTCCTATGAATGAATCTATTCTCTCGCTCTTTATGGCTGAGTAATATTCCATTTTATAGAAAAACCACATCTTCTTTATCCAGTTTCCAACGGATGGGCAAATAGGTTGTTTCCAAGATTTAGCTATTACAAACTGTGCCGCTATAAACATGGGTGCACATACTTCTCTGTGATATGATTCTTTTAGTTCTCTTGGAAAGATACCCAACAGAGGGATGGCTGGGTCAAAGCTTATGATTCTAAGTCTTTCAGAATGACAGTTTTGAGAATTTGGTAAAAGTCTTAGAGAAGGCAAAAACTATTTATGTATATTTTCATACAACTTCTGGAGTCCAGAGATATTTGGAAATAATAAAAGCTGGGGTTTATGGGTCTTAGATTATAAATTCTTGGACTGTATTCTTTTAAAATTCATTCATTCATTCATTCATTCATTGAGATAGAGTCTCACTCTCTGCCTGTGCTGGCCTTAAACTCTTGGGATGAATGAAGCTCTCTTTCTGCCTCAGCATCCGTCACCATCACAGCTGGTGACACAAGGCTAAAACACCCATCCACCTCACAGTGTTGGGCTGGACTAGAGGCTCCACGGGTGAGCCTGGTGGTTGGTGCCAGAGCGGCCTGAGGTTGGGGAATGGGTAGTGGAGAAAGACAGAAAGTCTCATAGACACAGGGGCATGCACAGTCTGGGAGAGAGGGATGTGGCCAGGCCCATTCCCAGGCAGGCAGTCATGCAGGACAAAACTCTTTATCTGTTCTGTTGGCCTCCACCTGATGCTGGCCGGGTCTAGAGGTGCTGTTAACGAGCAGAAGTGTAGGCACAGAACCTTTGTTCAGGTTCTGAGATCAAGGTGGGATCCTAGCCTAGCTTTGTGCCCACTCATCAGCAGGGGAAGTTTTGCTCCCTGCTCTGCTCTCTGAGTAGGCTGAGAGGTTAGTGAGTCATTCTGGCTGATGTAGCTGGAGGGGCTCAGTCTGGTACTTGCCCGGGGACAGAGACAGTTGGGTCCAGCACAAGATTCATTGTGGTGGGCCCAACCCTGGTTATACAACAGATAAGCAGTGAAGCCTGGACTTAATTATTTCTCCTTCTCCAAAGCACAAGGCATCTTTCTTCATGAGTTGAGCACAAGGTGATGCTGGCAACTCTTTCCTTTCTGCCTTCCTCAATGCATCTCCTCTTTTAATTATACTAAAACCTACCACTGTCTCTCATCTGGCTTCTTCAGCTCTTCTGAAAATAGTTTGGTGTGTGAATAGCTGGCATGTCCGTGGGAGAAGATTGCTGGAGGACCTTACTTAGCCAACATCTTACTCCACCTTCTGGACCATATAATGCTCTGGAGGCTGTCATCTAGATCACTTGCTTTGGACATATAAGAAAACTGGAACAGCCAGAACTACCTTGACTTCCCTGGAACAGCCAGTGTTTCTCAGGCTTCAGTCATGAGTAGTTTTGTGACACATCTAATGGGGGTTCTATGACAGCATGGTCTGTGGCCACCGTAAAGCTCTGAATTGGTAGAACTGAGATTCAGTCTGTTATGGCTGCTTCTATTGGAAGAGCCTAGATAAGCCCTTGAATCTACTCATCCAGTCTGAAGGAAGATTATTGGTCCAGGAGGGGCCTTAGCTCTGCTAAGTGGGTCATAGTCATTTCCATGTTTATCTCTGTGCCACTGTTCATTTCAGATGGGACTGCTCAGTTTGGCTTTTGTCAGTAATCCTCAGAAATTGACGCTGTGTCCCAAGGTGGTGACTGGGGCCATTTTATTGGTCCATTGACTTCCACAGTGCCAGCTGTCTCCCTGCTCACCCACTTGAGCCTCTGGATGTCATGTTGACTCTAGTGTTCCTCTGAAGCACTGTGTTGTATACAGCAGATTCTACTTGCATAATTAAATAGCAAAAAAAAAAACACAAATCCGTTCTTCTGCTTAGCAGACTGTCTTTTGCATATGCATATTGGTATAGTCATTCTCTTGGTGGAGGTTGTGTAGCCCCCAAAAGGTAGACCACTCAGTCAGTGTTCAGTTATCCAGTGGTGAACAGGGTTATGACTAATTATTCCAGAGTATAAACTGGAGTCCTGTTTCTTTGAATGAGAACTTATTCCTTTATCCATTAATCAATTCAATCAACCATTTCTGAGCTCCTGCCACAAACTAAAAATACCTGTCTAATGCAGCATATAGTTATTTCAAATTTTTGGAAGATGTAAAACCATTTTAGAGAAAACATGTGCAAAACATGGGCTGATAAAAAGACTATCTGAAATTTAATAATCCCAAACCAAGTAATATGTCTTATAAACATTCATTCATCCGCAGCTGCTTCTTGTACTAGCTGTGATTTGGGGCCCCAGTGGCATCTGCAATGCCTAGAGATGATTTTGGTTGGCATACTGTCAGGAGGTGGGGAAACCTTACCACTCCTGCCCAGGGGTGGAGAACAGGGAAGCCCCTAAACATCGTCCCCACCAGAGCACATCTCCCAACGACAATCAGTCACCCCCCACCCAATGTTAACAGTGCCAAGGTCGAAAGGCACTGCCATCCTTTGAAGGACTTGATGTGGGGGAATTTGGGTTGCTAGTATTTGGTAATAATGTTGGTCAGTATATGATTTGTTTTTATATTGAGAATCTTAGTAAGTGCCTTCAGAAATGATGACATCTTTTTTTTCAACTGAAAGGAAAATATTTCAATGTATACAATGCCAGAAGAGTTGAAAAGTAAATAAGTGTGTCTGTCTCAGTAATATTCTAGAAGGTTTAAACAGTATCAGAATTCCTCCTTCTTAAATTTAATATTATCTTCCTGCCAGGGCATAAGTGAGAGAGGTAACAAAATGTCCAGGAAATGAATGAATGAATGAAAGGTTGGTTAGCATGTTGAGGATCTTTGGGACCATTTATTTATTTGTTTGTTTGCCATTGTGGCACTGGAGATTGAAGCCAGGGCCTCCTCCAAAGTAAGTGTTCTACTTCTGGACTCCACCCCAGCCCCAGACATCAGTTTTTAATTGCGTTAGAATAGAGATCCTTCAAATGGTGCCATAGGATTATTCAAAGTTTATCTAATTCCTTATAAATTTATACAAGAGCCCTTTAGATGAGAATGGCAATGAAATATCACTAAGCAAATTTTAATAACCATGGTTTATAGCTGCCCATTCCCAACCTCACTAGAGATATCTTATGACAGATTCAAGCAGAGACATTTGGTCCAACTGTCATTATAATGCAAATATTTCCATTTGAGCTACTATATCTTGTTGAGTAATTTAATATAAGAATATTCCTTGTGATAATCATAATTTCAGAAGATTTATATTAAGCTAACAACATCTGTTTGTTATTTCACTTAATAATACATGGATATACTAAAAGTAGCTAACAATAGCCCCTGGATTAGGAGGAAAACTGTTAGAATAAGGAAAGAAGAGGCTTTATACATTTTCTTACTCATAAATTTACCTATTTTTATGGAAAAACTTGTTTTTAAGTTCTCTTTGATGAATCCAAGGCGTGTTTTCTAGAGGTATTCGTTTTTTATATGTATGTGTTTTCAATTTGGCTATAGTTATAAGGGCACATGGAAATTCCAAAGTATTGCATTTATTTTTACCTTCACTTATCTACTAAGATCCTTGAATTTCTTTGTTCTTCAAAAGAAAATCATTTTATTAGGAAAAATAAAACTATTTCTCAAGTGTGGATTATGAAAGTGCTCCTACTTCCTCAGTACTCCGACAATGTCCCAATTTTTGGCTTCAATCTATGCTACATTGTTTTCTGATATAGATTCTGCTGGAAAAACTGGAGATTTTATGAGGCTCAGCTTAAATCCAACGAACTATTTAACATAAGAAAAAACTTCAATACATTTAGTCTCTTTGTCCTGTAATTTTCTCATTTTCAACATGGGAGACAATAAAGGGTTACTGGGAAATGAATTAAATTATTGTACTAAGTTCCTTGCACCAGGCACATGCCCTGTGTATCTTAACAAGCAATTGAAGACGTCTTTCCAGTCTTACTGTGTGTGTGTGTGTGTGTGTGTGTGTGTGTGTGTGTGGTACTTTTGGAGAAAAATTCAGGAGTTACAGTATATCAATTTATTTAAATTTTTCTTGTAAAGAAACAACTGGCAAATTCAGCATTCTTTTTTATCTTAATATTAAGTTTATTAGTACATTTTAGGTATACAGTATATTCCTTAGACACATAGGTTATCGTGTTTTTAATAGCTCCAAAGTTAAAGTAAATTTTGGAGCCATTTATGGTAATGAATCCAATAATCTCAATTGCTACTTTTTATTCTACTTTTATGTAAGCTTTTGTTGTGAGTCCCTCACTCCTGTCACGCAACAGTCAATTTTTAACAGAGTTGTCAAGTTTTACAAAATGAGCACTGGAATGATGGCTCTGTGACTTTAGAAATTCTTTCTTAACAATAAAACCACCGTGCCTCTCTGTTACGATTTAGCTCTGAAACATCCTCCATGTCTCATGTGTTCAGAGGTGGGGCTCTCGGGATGTGCTTGGATAGTGATAGCGCTAACTTCAACAATGGATTAATCCATTAGTAAGGTCATAACTTGATCACATTATTAGGATGGAACAAAAGTTTAGGAACTGGAGTTAAGTTGAAGGCAGAGGGTCATGGGGCTTTGACCTTGGGGACTATATCTGATCTCTGGCTGCTTCCTCTCTGGCTCTTTCCCTCTTTCTCTTCTTCCTTGCTTCCATGAGTTGAGCAGCGTTTCTCTTGCAGGCCCTTCCATCATGGTATTTCTGCCATGGAGCCAGCCAGCCGTGGGGATTTACAGATACCCTGTTCCTGAGAAACCCTGAGATTCACGGCACAACTCTGCCATAAAGAAAGATGAGCCTGAGTCATTTGTAGGAAAATAGATGCACCTTGCGATCATAATATTAAATGAAATAAATCAGACACACAAGCTCAAATATCACATTATTTCTCAAATATGAAAAACCCATTGTAAAAATAAAGAGCAAAACAAATTACAGATGATAGGTAGCAGGGCGACAGAGTCTTCTCAGGGGGGAAGGGGATCAAGAGATGCAGGGAAGGGGAGGGAGGGAGAAAGAAGGGGAGGGGATAAAAAGGAACTGGCGTGTGTTATGTACATGTGCCAACTCCACACAAGGAGTGTAAACATTGTGTACAACAGGCGTGTGCTAATAAACTAAAATTGTAGAAGTAAATATTTAAAACATTCAAAAAAGATCACATGTATTAAAAATATGTTCAGATGCAAATAGAATCTCCCCCAATACCAGTTTTGGTCAGTTTCATTTGGTTAATGTTTTCAGCCCTGATGATAAGCTTTTGTGTACTAGTATGCGTAGGTAGAAATCTCCACAGCATTAGTCCTCAAGCCAAAGACATGAAATTTTTCTATAATATCTTTGGTCCCAAAGGCTATATTTTGATCAATACTCTGAGGCAGTTAAAAATAATGAATATCTGTACTGTGATCCTTGTCAGTGGGCAACTTGAGTGATTTGGCTGAGAATTCCTACTAGAATTACTTCAGAAAAAAACTGTGAGCCTGGTGTGTCTAGTGCTAAAACTATTGGTTGATGGCTTCTTATTTCATCAGCTTTCATTTGTGGTGTCAAAAAAGATGGATTGATAGACTTTCAAGGCCTTTATCATAGACCTTTAAGTCACAGGCAGAGAACTTTTCCCTCCAAAAAGCAGTATTCTCTTCCATCTGTTGGTAAACCAGCCTGACCTAGTCTGACTTGATCTCTTTTTTTAAATTGATTAAATTTATTGGTACATGTTGGATATACATAATTATCACATTCATCACATAATTTGTACCTTTACCTAGTATATCTTGATTCTTTCTTCTTTTCCCATTCACCTCCCTTCCCTTGAACCTCTCTTTATTCATTTGCAAAAGCTTTGTTTCTATTTTTTCCTTCTTCTGATCTCCTTTTTGTAGGAATTTACTGAAAGCAAAAAGTTGAGTGCCCCCCCAAATATTCTGAAACCTTGGGATTATTTTCTTTATCATTCAGGCATTCATTGGCACACTATCTTCATCTCAGACGAAGAGCATGAACACGTAATTATCACTCACCAAGTCAACAGCTTTCCAGCTGGTAAAAGATTGGGTCTTCTTTACTTACAGTGATCCTGGCAATGAATTCTGTTTCAGTTCTTTCTTGGGTAATAACAATAGCAGCCCACCCTGTGTAATCAAATTAAAAGGTGTTTATCACAGAGTACTGGTGCACTTTTGTAATCCCAGCACTCCTGTGGCTAAGGCAGGAAGACTGAGCGATCAAGGCCAGCTTGGGCTATGTAGTAAGTTCAAGGTCAGTGGGGCTACATAATGAGATCCTGTCTCAAAAAACAAACAAAAACAGTTATTTCTTTAGAGACTATTGTGTTGCCCAAGTTATTGATGTGACAGAGAACTAGGGCAAGAGGAAGCATATTTGGGAAACTGATCAGTTTCTCATGGTTCGATTTACTGTTCCCAAATATGCTTCCTCGGCTATGTAGTAAGTTCAAGGTCAGTGGGGCTACATAATGAGATCCTGTCTCAAAAAACAAACAAAAACAGTTATTTCTTTAGAGACTATTGTGTTGCCCAAGTTATTGATGTGACAGAGAACTAGGGCAAGAGGAAGCATATTTGGGAAACTGATCAGTTTCTCATGGTTCGATTTACTGTTCCCAAATATGCTTCCTCTCTTAGCCTCCCGAGTGCTGGGATTACAGGCAAGAGCCACCATGCTCCACTTCTGATCTGATGATATTGATGCAGCAGTTAAGATCAATATGTGCTAGAGTATTTTGCTGCTGTAGTTGTTGTTGTGCAGTTGCCTGTTGCATAAGCTCCTTTATTAGCAGCTGGTCTTAAAACCATTGTGCCACCATTCTCATCAGAAAAATGAAGGCTGTGTTTGGCCTTCCTGGTTCATTTGCTCACGTCTAAGTTGAAGTCTTTAATGGAAACATTTTACTTCTTTCTTCCTTTATCTTAACGATCCAACATTGTTATAGCAAAGAGTTCCTCCAAGCAACAACACTCAAAAGAGAGTGACAAATCAGACACCGTGAGCAATGTATACTATGAATAGTTAGAAGTGTATGTTATGATGGTCCACTGGAAATAGTTCGAGTCCTATAGATTTTCTATCCTAAATTGTAAGGGAAGAATCAAACCCAATGTCATCAGGCTTTTGAAATCAAGACCATAAAATGATTGGTTATTTATCCATACAAAATGGATTAAAAATATTTTTGTCCAAAATGGATTAAAATATTTGAAAAAGTCCATGTTTTATTTATGGGGTATTTTAGTCAGATTTCACCACTGTAACAAAATATCTCAGAAAATAGCTTAAAGGAAGAAATGCTTATTTTGGCTGATGATTTCAGGGATGTCAGCCCATGGACAGCTTGTTTTTAGGCCTATTGCTACTTAGAAACATAAGGGCAAAAAGGTATGGCAGAGGGAAGCTGTTTATAATCAAAGCAGCAAGGAAGCAAAGAGAGCAATCAAAGGAGGAAGGAGATTGGGACAAGATATACCCTCCAGGCCATGCTGCCAAGGTCCCACTTCCTTCAGTTAAATGCCACCTCCTAAGTGTCTGTCACCCCCCAATAGACTATTACATGTTGAACCCACCAGTGGTTTAATCCATAAGTGAGGTCAGAACCCTTGTGATCGGATCACTTCCAAGCCACACCTCTGACTAGGGCTGCCAACGCTGGGACTGGGTTTTCAGCACATGAGTCTTTGGGGGGAACATTTAAGATTCAAGCCACAATATTGAGTTAAGTGTGGAAAACGGCAGAATAAGATTTGTTGTTGTTATGCACACACTGTTCAAAGACCATGGTATGCATGAGCTACCACAGAGAGATCACAGAGGTTCTGGAATTTGGCAAGTCATGTGGAGGCCTGCCTTCTTTAGATTGAACCACGTCTCAATTTTTCTATGTATTTTTAAATATATCATAGCGAGAATAAGATCTTAGAAGTTGAGAGCCAGGCGCTTGCTCATAATTTCATGCTTTAATCTTTAACAAATGGAGCACCTGTCATCTAAATATTACACACTCTATTTCCAGTTGAGTGCCTGAAGTGAGCCTTTTCCAACAAGCAAACTCGTTACAATCTACAGCTAAGACTGACCCTTTGGAGTCTGGGGGTGGGCAAAGGGGACTCTACCCACTCCTTACAGCCCTGTATCGACAGCCCACATGAGTTAATAGTTCAAGGTGGTGGACTGGCGATAGTCTACATTTCCTTTGCCAGAACACAAATTATAGATGCACAGTGACATGCAAATGCAAATTTATTGCCTCATTCAGGACCCTATGCTTGTCTCCACTATCTTACAGAAACATAAATTACAAGTAAATGTAATTCTGAAGATAAGCAGACAACCCCCAAGTAAGTAAAAAGGAAGGCTTATCAGGGAAACTGATGACATTACATCATCTCTGTCTTCTGGAAAATTTCATAACTGAAAGTTCATACTGAATCTGAGTTTCCTTTCATTTTCTTTCCAGATAAAGGGAAAAAAATCACTGCATGGTCATGTTATGTTATATATAAAGAATCTTCTTGAAAGGTTCTCATGGCTTCAGAAACAACCCTAACTGAAATGTTGGGCAATAAATCTTGTTGAGTGAACATACGTATTATAATATTAGCCTCTGACATAGCCATTATATGCAAGTCAGATAATTTCTATTTTTTAAATTTCCAATAGAGAATGCATTTTTTTTAAAAATGTACAAATATGACCACAGATATACACACAGTAAGGAAACTGGCATTTTGTTTTTGGCATTGTGCAAGAGAATACACTGATTTAGCCTCCCTGAGAGGTAACAAATCTCATCAAAGCAATAATCCTGACAGGTAAATGGAGCTATTGTCCTAAAGATATTTACTAACATTCACATGAATATAAAATTCAATTTTTGCAGAATTTTGGGCTGGAGGAAGAAATTGGCAGGAAATACAACTACTCCAAATAAGGTCTGATAAGTGATTTGCCCTGTGACCACAGAGATGAGAATCCTCAATTAGAGGTTTAACAGAAAAAAGTTTGCAAGAATGATTACTTATCTTCAAACTTGACATCATATTTACAGGAGAGGGAGCATGTACTAGTGATTCTTAATAGGCCAGAAAACAAGCATTCGCAACTGAGCTTACAACATCTGAGTAATTTAATAAAAGACTATTAATAGTACCTTAGATTAGACGCATCCCACATTAGTAGTGTCCTCAGGATTTTAGAAGTGAATGCAAACCACTTCCAATACAAAGTCAGACCTCAAGGAATACCTGCAGATGAAGGCACATGAATTGGAGCTCACTGCCAAAGTCACAAACAGCCCGGGAACCAAGGCAACAAGAATGAGTGTGAGCCGGTAAATAAACAGTTGAATTGAATTCGGGAAACCTTCAAACATGGGATTTATAAGAGAAAGTACAGAATGGGCATATTTAAATATTTGCTCTTAAAAGGTGATTCAAATACAGTTATGGTTAAACAGTAAATTAATATATATTAAATATACATAATATTAAATATATAAGGAGACCTGAAAAGAAAAAATTAGAAATTTGAAGAGTAAAAAAAATATTACAAGAAGCAGAATGGTTAGATTTGAAGAATGATTGCATACATCAGGAGAAGTTTAGTGAACTATATGAAGGATCTGAGAAATGTATCCAGAATATGGCATGGTGAGAAAAAGAGAAAACACAACAGAAAACAGAATAAGAGCAAAATCCTAGAGAAACAAAGAGGAGAACCAATAATGAAATTAACTAAGAAATTTGCC